AATAATAATAATAATAATAATAATAATAATAATAATAATAATAATAATAATAATAATTATAATAATAATAATAATAATAATAATAATAATAATAAATATAAATAAATAATAAATAATAATAATAATAAAATTATTTCTAAAACTATACGCCTACATCATATTCTATACATTATATATTATTTAACTTAAATTCTAAAAAAAAAAACATTAAACTTAAATTACTTGAATTATCGTTCTCTTGTAACACGTTCGACTTATCCAATTGCCTCTACTTATTACGCCATCCAATTAAGCAAGGAGCTTACAAATTCATTGTTAGCTCGACTCAATTACCCCGAACCGCAGACATCGCTCACTCGCTTGAATTATCCGGCGATTCGGTAATACACAATCAATATAATAACAATAGGCATGGCCGGCCACTTGGCCAAAAGTTGAACAGCCGCTGGCCAAGTGTCGACTATTGAACCCAGCTCAAAGGGAACGAACAATGCTGCGTGGTCGAAACTCTCGAGCCCTCGAAAGCTCTGGATGGTTGTGTGAGGATTATAATTAAGAGCCATGAAAACGCCTTCAATTACACGTGAAAAAAAAAATAGCCTTGTTGGTAGAAAAATCACAACAAATGCAAAACGTGGGCAAAAATAGCCTGAAAAATCGGAAGAGTGTCCACAACGAATCGCGTATAATTATGCAAAGTGAATTGCGCGAATCGCTTCTACAACTGGCGCCCCACAGACAGCGTTAGCTGAGCAAAACAAAAAAAAACATAGCAAAAAGGTCAAAAGCCGTCCAGTGTATTGGCGAAATTAGAGGGCTCAGGCGAGTGGAATTAAGCAGACTTTTCATTTGCCACTGCTGTGCTAGTGCTCTCTCGCTCGCCCCCTTTTGTGTGCGTGACATTGTTTAGTAATTCATTTCAGTGGGATTTCAATGCATTTTTGAGTACATGCTAGTTAACGCGTAGTTAATGCCGCACGCAAACCTACAGCGGCGGAAGCGCCAGTGTCCAACGCGGCGTATGTGCAATGTCCGCAAATGCAATCGAGTTTCTCTATTCCCATTTTTCGTTTGCTGCTGCTGTTCTTGTTTCTTTTATCTCTTTCTGGCTTGTTCGCGTGCCCGTTCTTGGCGTGCTGGCCATTTGGCTGGCTCGGCCAAGTGTTTGGGCCAGAACTTCAACTTCAGTCAATTGCCGGCTCTTGGCGCTTCGACATCGTCTCGTGCTAACATATTTGATAGGTGCTAACGTTGTCGCTGCTCCCCGTGTTGTCTTTACTGTCTTTACCGAAGAGTACAAGGTGAAATAAAAAACAAAAAAGAAGAAGACGAAGAAGAGCTAGAATAAACAACAAAATTGATATTACGACATTCACCATGAAAATGTTTGAAATATCCAAGCTGTTCTCGCTGCGAAGGTAAGACAAAATTCCTAGAATTTTCTAAAAGGTATTTTAGCTTAAAGACCTAGAAACTCCAGTTAACTAATACTACAAATAATTCCTTTAATTTCTCTTAATTAAACTGTCTGCGGGTTGCAGTTTTTGTAATAATATAAATAAAAATCTAAAAAATTTATTAAAAAATATATACAAAAAAAATTTTAAAATTATAATAATAATAATAATAATAATAATAATAATATTAATTTTAAAAATAAATAAATTTTAAAATAAATAACAGACTTAAAAATAATAAAAATTAAAAAATAAATAAAAAAAAAACATCTGCTTACCAAAGCTTCAATTTTGTTATAAATATTGAACATTAACTGAATTCAAGATCAACAGCGGAGTCAATTTAAATTGTATCTACATAGATCTTAAATTCTAAATTATGCAAACACTAACTA